AGGGAAGTAGAGGAGATGGAGGAGAGATGGATCAAAGAAGGCTCGCTCGGAGGAGGTGACCGCCTCCCTGCTGGCCTGGAAAGCTGAGTGCAGGTGGCCTGCGGCCAGCTCAGCCATGGCCCTCTGCGCCGAGGCCACCGCTCGGTACACCTGTGTGGGAACAACACTGATGGTCAGTCCCTGGCCAGAGAGGACCACAGGAACCAGCCTGGGGGCATGGTCTGCACAGGGACAGTGACACCTGGCCCCATCCCAGGGTGCCCCAGCCCTACCTCAGAGGCAACATCATCTTTGATGACAATATTCCCAATCTTGTCCAGGAGCTGGGCCAGCGAGGTCAAGGTGGTAGACACGGTGGCGATGTTCTCCACGGTGTGGGCCCACAGCAGGCGGTCCAGCTCCCAGTCGGCCAAGCCCTCATTCCCTGGGCTCTCCAGCAGGAACTCGGGGGGCAGCTCCTCCCGAGATAACCCAAACAGTAACCTGGGAGCAGAGGGGAGGGTCCCAGCCTGCATCACAAGCCTGTGGTGCCATCTGTGCTCCCTGCTCCTCCCCTTCCCCGCTGCATTCCCAGCAGGGCTCAACCACACCTCACAGCCTCCGGGACACCCGGCAGGACAAAACTCAGGAGGTGCGAGATGCGCCGGCACCCCAGGCCAGAGAGCAGTGCTGGCTGGCGGTCAGCACCTCGAAAGCCACGAAAAGCCATCCTCAGCCTCCCCGAGCCCACGGAGGAGTGAACGAGCTGCATGTGTACAGCCCTGCTCTGACCCCATCGATTTCCATGTGTGCCAGGAGAGCACACAGAGGCCGGGGAGAGAAAGGTGAATCCTCACCGGAGCTGGGCCAGAAAAACCTCCATCACTCGCACCATGTCCACGTCCACGTGCAGCGGGAGGGAGGCTTGGGGGGAAGCAGGGGCTTCAACGTTGTAAACCTGCAGGAGAGCATGTCAGCAAGGAGCCCTGGGGCTCACAGGGTCACCAGCACTCCCTGGGGACAGGGAGCCACTGCCTTGTCTGAGCACTGCCAGCACCCCCACAGCCCCGTACCATGATGCCGCCCCAACGGGGGCTGTGGAAGGCGTTGGTGGGCACTGGGGCTCCGTCCTTGTCCTGGATGTACAGAGGGGAGTGGGAGCGCTCTGGTACGTACAGCAGGAAGTTCAGCACAGGGTAGAGTGAGGCAGCGCTGGATCCTGCAGCAGGACAGAGTCAGAGAATTCCCCTGGCTGGCAGGAACGGTGAGAGCAGACAGCCCACACACAGCGCCGGGGCAAAGCCCAGCCCTGCTCCTCCTTCCGCAGCGAGCCCCAAGCAGAACTGCCAGCCCAGCAGGTCTGTCACCCTCACACCCATCCGGGGCTGTCAGGACATGGGAAGGGAGGGAGGGGTACGGGCCACAGGTACAGCTGTGCCCCCTCCCTCCGCAGAGCCCAGTCC